GAAACCCTCGATGTTGTTTGAATCACGACTGTTGGATGATTGTTGTGGTACCTGATTTTGCGTGGAAAACAAAACAAGTTGAAAAAAAAAGAAACAAAAATAAAACAGACCCGAATACAAAGTTTCTCCACACTTTCAATGATGAGAACAAAAATCTTTTTCTAAAACGCTGATGGGATTGTTTTTTTTTTAATTTACCCACCCGTCATACTATTAAAGGGCCAAAGCGGAAATGGAACTTCAAAGAACAGCTTATATCAGGGGCGGATCTAGGATTTTCTCGAGGGAGGGCGGATTTTCAAGAAGTTTCGAAAATTTTCGTCGACCGTTTTTTTTAGGTGGACCGAATTGATTTTTTGAGCTCTCCTAAATCACTTTAAAGCCCCCCTTTTCGAGCAAATTTTTTGCGCCCATTTCGACCAGATTTTCGTTTTTAGGCGATTTTTCCAAAAAATTTTTACCAAAAAATCGCGTTCTTTTGGCGCGCGCTCCCTCAAAATTAGTATAAAGTGTCGCCGAAGGCGCCTTAAGAAATTATGTAGGTTCTGTCAACAAAAAATAGTCATCTCAAAATACTACAAAGAGGGAGCCTTTGGGTCGGCAGGGTGTCGAATTCCTGAGGGGGGCAGGGAATTCGTCCGTCCCCATCCCCCACCTAAACCCGCTGGAGGCTTATATAGACGTAAGTGGCCTTAAAAGTGCCTTAAAAGTTATTATTTATTTTTGTAATTGAGCAAGAGTGGGCAGATGCATGCTGTACATTCATATAAACCATTTCAAATCAAATTCTAAAATGAAACAAAATTTGAAAAACAAGAGAACAAAAAGTGAACACATTTTATATTTTTTGTAGCCAGGGAGAGTTGAAAATCAGTTGAGGCAAAAGTTTTCCTTCAACTTAAGTCAAGTAATAAAAAACGATGAAATCGGATTTTGAGACTACTGCTTCTTTCAGTTATTCGCACAAAATCACACTTGCGGTTATTTGCTTTGAAGAGTAAAAAAATTAGACCCGTATATACCGGCACTGAGACTAATACACCATTTTATGGAATCGTAAACTAAAAAGATACCGGAATTTAAGATGATACTTCAAACTTTTTGCGTCCTTGCTTTGAAGTACTTGAAATTATGGTGAAAACACACCCCTAGTGCCTTCCCACTCTTTAAGAGAGGTAGGAGCAAAATCATTCAATTACCAAGCTGTGCGGTCTAAAATTTCCAGAGCTAAGACCAGGCAAAAGTTAGAGAGTGTCTATAACTGATTTTCTAATTGAAAAAACTATGTGCAATATTTTTTTATCGATATCAGCTTGAAAATAGGAAAACATCGAGAACATTTTTTCTTCAATTTCGTTTTTTTTGTTCATTGTCAACTTACAATCATCCTAACTATTTTCGTAAATCAAACTTCGATATAGGCTCGGATTTTTTTATTTAATCGAGAGAAAGTCTTTTTGATGGATGACGGTAATCAGTTGATTTTGAAAATATCAATCAAAATTAAATTCAAGACTTGCAGACATAACGAGTTTTTGATGTTCCAGAACTCACAATTGATCACTGTTTTCGTATAGTAAGGTCACAGTTTTATTAGAGTATATTTCTAAAAACCAGACAGCAAAACATAAATAGGAAACCTTTTAACATTCAGAAGATCAACTTCGAGTGATCTATTAATTTTAGTGGTTCAAAAAACGAATCAAAGTGTATTTTAAATTTTCTCTGTGACCGATTTGTTTGGTACTCGTCCATAAAAACAACAATCGCCACGTTATGAAAGAAGACACTGCATTGAATTTTAGGCTTTGAAAAGCTTCTTTTATTGGTCATTTTTATGACCATAATTTTGATATTCATCTTGATTGTTTTTCAAAAGGAAATTCGAGTGACCTCGCAAATGGCAAAACATGTAGAATTTGTCAAGACTTTTAAAAAACAAAAGAGTGAAATGAATAGAAAAAAAATAAACTGATAACAGCGGTAACAAAGGAAAACAGACAAGAAGTTTCCATGAGCCCTTCATGTTCTCAGAAATTGTGTTTTTTGTGTTCTAATAAAAAAATTTGTCTGCTGTTCTCAAAAAAATTGTTTAATCCATAGATAACTGGAATTTTAGAATCATATGGTTAATTTCCGTTCCATAAACAAGCAAGTTTCAACGATTGCTCCAATTTTTGCAACGTATTGCTGGATTCCGCATTTGACTAGCCCAAACATATTCATATTAAAGACATTTCGCAGAATCCAGAAAAAAACTGCGAAATCTGAGACAAAATTAACCATTGAAGAGAACAAACTACAAAACTGAGTGACATTTAAAAAATTGTTTCAATGGCCAACCGACTCTATCTTAAAACTCCACAGAAAAAAAAGTTGTTCGACATAAAAACATCCAATCGATGATTGGAAAACAGATATGAACGCAAGTAAACAAAAAAAAACACACTGACTTAGCTGAAAATCTCAACTTTCGAATTTCAAAGAAAAAAATGGATTTCTTTTAAGCTCTTTGAATTTCTAGAACAATTTACCATCTGTTTCTTTTTTTGGTATCTTTAACCCAACATGAGAAAACTGAATCAACGGGTAAAGTTTTTATTCCGTTGAAAATCAAAAAATTAAATTTCACTTTCGAAACTAGAAATCGTTCGTTTCTCGCGCAATTTCCACGTCCGTATTTAGAGAGTGCTATTTACGTCATTTTCAGCAGATGAATTTCAACTAAACTCAAAAAGTGCATATATACCTAAGTGCATTCATAAATTCATCAATATGAATGAAAGCACATCCGTAGAAGTATCAGAACTGAATTTTTAAGATTTGTCCTTAGTTTAAAATTCGAATTGAAATCGCGAGTATTCAAATACCGAATTGAAATTTAGCAAAATTTAAAAAAAAACAGTAAAACAGATTCTCGCACAAGTTTTGTAATTAAAATATTCAGTAATCGGTTAGTGCACCAGTAGTATAATACATCTGGCGAAGTGTCCAAAGTTGATCTGGCAACTAGTCCACAGATATTGCGCATGTGTGTTCAAATTTATTCACTGGTAGCTCAATACAGCGCTACACTGCGCAATAGGTATTCGTATTGTTCTGACTTTCGAAGAAGGTGCGGAATAATTATGATTGGGGTGGGTTTTTTTTCAGTCAGTTTTCTTTATTTATAATAAAGAATTTTATAATACCTATAAGAACCAATCGAAAACTATATTTGTCTAGAGTTCAGGCTTAAAAAGATGTTTCTTGATATTTATTAAAGTTAAAATGGTTTGAATTTGGGACTATTTTGATGAATATAAATCAAACTGAGATAATTGAAGCGCAATACATTTCAATTTAATGCGCAATAACTTGAACTGAAGCAGGTTTTTGCTTTTATTAGAGGATGTTACCACATGCAAAATGTATCACTTAGTATTCTACATAGCAAGTGCGGGGATGTGGATGAAATAAAGTATTTTGAAATATTCAAAAATTTCTCACTTTTTGAATATTTTATTTTTGAAAAAAGTTTAACCAACCTATTGCGGTCGACGATAGAGGGCAGTTGCAACATTCAGAGCTTTGGCCTTATATACGAGCAGTCTTGATCAACGCTTGTGCAAGTTTCAACTAAATTTAGTATAACAATACAAGCCAAAGTTTGCGCCAATTTTTTATCTCGGTACAATTTGAGCCACTTGGTGAGCGGTTTCGTTATTAACAATAATAAGAAACAAAATTTTCAACCAAAGTCTCAAAATTGCTAATTTTTTTCAGACTTTGAGGTAACGAGATAGATCTTATACGCTAGACAAATATTCATGGTTAACACTTAAAATTAAAAATATATGTATAAAATTTGGTTGAATATAACGAAACAAATATTCTTTGTTGAATATATATGAAATATATGTGTAAAATATATATTTATAAAACTTTGTTGATTATAGAATGAAAAACTATTGATTCTTAAACACTAGATTTGCAATAAAAAATAGATTTAAGAATCAATAGTTTTTCATTCTTCATCAATTACTAGATGAATGACACGGAGACGGGTGTGAGTGTGATCTAGACAGTGAACTTAATGGGCAATTTTGAGGAACAGTATAGAAAACAAAGCAAAAGCAATGCAAAAGGCACCAAATTGGAGAAAAACTCGAATATTGAATCACTATTATTTACAGCACTTAATCTGAATTTTTGTTCCGTTTGAGGGCAAGCAAGTTGCGAAAAAGTTGTTCGTTTACCGCCTAATTTGTTCAATTATCCGCCGAACTAATTTCATTTGGTTTGTCTTGCTCTTTATTAAGTTCACTGTCAAGATCAGACCCATCTTCTTGTCATTCACCGATTATTGTAAAAAATTATCCACATTTTTAGGGCAGTGAAACTTTTTGATTTTGTCATAGATTTCACCCAGCATACTTTTTTAAAATACTTTGAATACTTTTGAATACTTAAATTTTTGAAAAAACCATCGTTGAAGCTTTCGGTTTTATAAGCGAAAAATTTTTATTTCGAATCTCGAATTTTTGTCCAATCTCGAACTTTCAAAAGCATGCAATGGCAAAGATTGAAATTGAGTTCCCATGATTTTTATTTCAATAGTATGCAGAATTCCGTTCGATAGGCAAATCAAATTAAAAGCCTTGAAATTGGTTGCAACCCAAATTTTTACCAGTTCGACAGCATTGATTTTTGGCCTTTCTAGGGCGCTAAAAGACCCTAAATTTCTTAATGCGAAGCCGCAAAGACGCTTCAGCATGCTTGATTCAAGGGTTAGATAATGAGTGCTAAAATTTTTTGAATGAAAACTCTCCTTTTGGTTTGGTCTAACACATTTTGTCCGACTTGAATTAATTGGCACAATTTGCCCCTAATACCTCAAAAAATTCCAAAAATAATGTGTGGTGAAAAATGAAGGGGCCGAATTGGGCCACGAAATTTAAGAAGGGTTGCGAAGGGTTGCTCCAAGTTCTAGAAGGTTTAAATGTAGTTAATGATGTTACCGACGAAGTCCCTGTGAGATCTCTTGGTGAGAGTGCCCTCTGTGCGCATGTCCACTATCTCTCTCTTTGTCCTCACCCCTCCCACCAGCAGACCCGCCTGGTCATCGAAGATACTCAGACCATCTGGAACGAAAAGGAAAGTGTCTCAATTCCAATCGCCAGTTGAAAGTTTTTGTGTAATCATGGTGTTGAATTTCTTCATACAAATGCCGACTTCTATCTAAACTAGCTTTTTTTGACGTAATTTTTTATGCGCCGAGCTGAAAAAAGCTAATTGTGCGGATTTTTCAATTTTCTATCAACACGTAATGTGAGCAGGAAAACAAAACCGGCGTAGAACTCATTTCAAATTGAACTGAAGCAAGCTATTTTATCCAACTATTACCAGAAAATACGCAAACTTCATATTTTTGCTCTCGAATTAGTTTTGTGGTTTCAAGCTTTACAAAAAAAAAGCAAAAAGCCTGAAGTTTTTCAATTAAATTATTATTTTTGTTTTGCCAAAAATTACATCAAAAACGTTAAAGCCATTCGACAGTCAAGGCTTTGCTTTGATGCAAACAGTTTAAATACGTTTAAATTTAGAAAAATCTTTCATCTGTCGATTTTGTTAAACGTGATGACCGAAAAAAAGCGGCGAGACATCAAAAAACTTAAAACAAAAAAGTCAGTGTCATGATGTGTTTCATATTCAGTAAACCGCTAAACATCCCTGTAAAACACTAAATGAAGACCACCCATGATGAGCGTTCCCATATCTTAATAAGACCTTATTGAAATGGTATTTTTACCGTACATATCGGGACTGAAAAATTAATAATTCAACCCCTAAATTGCTCGATATATTTCTCAGTTCAGTAAATCGATAACTTATTCATGCACGTCCCCTCGTGAAATAAATTTTTCACGCAATGTTTTCATTTCATATATATTTCTATATTCCACGTTGAATTTGGAGGTAAACTTGCAAGTGTTTGACCCAGCTTTCAAAGATGAAAAGAAATTCTGCCAATTTTGATTGACAGCACCATATCGATTTGGCCGAAGACGGTGCGGGAAGTTTCCTTTGAGCTGTTTTTGTTGCAAAGCATTTATTTATTAATGTGAACCAAATGACATACAAGCAGAAAAACTTCATGACGAGAACATAATTCAGCCATAATTGTTTACTATTTTAAGCTTCATGTATGTCGAAAACGCAAAAAATATACATCATTTTTATAGTCCAAAAATAGGCAAAAATTGGAGGCGGGTTGCCGGAAACAATCAAAGCGCACCCACTTTAAAAAGCTTGAATAGCATTTTTTATTTTAATGCCAAAGTTAGAATTGGGTAGCGTTTTCAAAACAGAAAACACTTCAATCGGTTTTTGATTAGGGCAATACAGGAAATTGGCGAATCCAATTTCTATATTGTCTGTCTAAAAGCAGGTGGCCTGTTAGGTAAGCAATAAGTTAAACGAAGATATTTATTACAAGCGTATTTTATGATGTAGTTAGTAAATAGCAGGGGCTGATCTAGTATTTTCTCGAAAGAAGTGGATTTTCAAAAAATTTCAAAAATTTTGGACCAAATCGTTTTCCGAGCCCTTCCAAAGCAGTAAAAAGACCGTTTTGGCAAAAAAAAATTTGAGTATTAGGCAAATTTTTAATCAAAGTGGCCAAAACATCATTTTAGGCGCATTTTGGACACTTTCCGCGCGCGCTCCCCCCTTAGAGTTAGTATATATTGGCGCCGACGGCGTCTTTCAAAAAAATTTTGGGTCAGTCAGCAATATAGAGCTCTGATAATGAGAGGGACCATTTGGACATTCAGGGGGTCGAATCCCTGAAGGGATGAAGGGAAGCATCCGCACCAGTAACCCCCCCCCCCCCCCCCGCCTCTCACCCCACCTAAATCCGCTACTGATTTCACGCGAGTAAATAGCAGTGGACAGTTTTTGCTTTTTTCTCGAATAGTTTTTTTTTAATTAATAAACTTTGACCCACCCGTGAGGTTAGTGTACACATATAGTGGTCTGTCATCTATGCTCAAGGTGCTGTTGGGACCTGTCCTTGTGAACACAATGGTGTGATCTAGTCCGTCGTTCACGCCTTCAGCCAGAGAGTAATCTCTCACTTTGTGCACACTCTTGCCTATGCTGTACTGCACCAAGGGTTTGCCATTTTTCTAAAATGACAGCATAACATATCGCAATTCGAATTCAATTTTCCGATTTGGGATTATTCAATTTTTTCATCCCCTTTAGTATCTATAGTAATGAGTTGCCATCCCCATAAAAAACTAATTCAACGATTAAGCATATTAGAAATTTTTACCTAGTAACGAATCTCACCCTTTTCCAAAAATGAGAAAACAGTTAGAAAGAGAGAGATTCTCCGATTCGATTGAAGACATGACTATTCATTCACTATCGAAAAACCGAATAGACATGAACTTTCATATAATATAAATTTTCCTTGGTTAAGTTAAAGATTTTAAAAAAATATTGTTTAAAATGAAGTTGCTTTTTAAAAATAAGTTAGAATCAAATTAAGCTCCTCCTCCCCCCTTCCCAAAATAGACCAAATAAAGATCCTCCAACCCAGAATTTAATTTGTAATAAGTTTGCTAAGAGCTGCGTGTAAAATGCACTATTATGTGGTCCGAACAATGCCTCGAGAAACAAACAATACTTCAGCGCTTTGTCAGGGTTTTAATCATTAACAATGATATAAAACTCTTGCACCGGATAATGATTATGACATACAGTATTCCAGCAAATTTTATAATTCTTGTTGTTCCGACTTTCGATACGAAAGTAACGGAATATTTGTGCTCGGGGTGGGTTTTTTTTTCTTCAGACAAAATTCAACTTTATAACTAGCCATTTTTGACGGAATATTTTTATTTTATTCGAAAGGTATTGTTGTCCTGAGCTCAAATTTGAAAAGATATTTCACCTGTAATCATTTTTCGTAAAGTTATGGGGGTTTAAAGATTGCCATTTTGGCCATTTTGGGACAATTAACGCGCGATATATTTCGCGGTATTAACGCGTAAGCGAGAAATTTTTTCCGTCTTAAAATCGTTCCAAATTGGTTGAAAGAAGCTTATTTGCAATAATTGATTTGTTACAAGAAGCTAAATCTATCTTTTTGTAATTTATATGGCGCGTAGGGGGATGATTTTTATTTAAAAAATTCAAATTTTAGAAAAAAAAATATTTTAATTTCATTTTATTACATTTAATTTTTTGATGTTATTACTGCTCCATAAAACCTTGAAAGGCAGTAGGAACATTCAGGGCTTCGCCCTGATACGAGCAGTCTTGTTCATTTTTGCAGTTAAAAGAGTTTTGAAGTGCAGCAGACAAATCAGCGCAAAAATAAGCTGGCAAAAGCAAAACACCCGAATGACTTCTAAATTTTAGACAAAATTCTCGGATTATAACTTATAAAGAAAATGCGGTGCCAAAATCATATACGAGAAAAACAATTTTTTAAACTCCTTAATTTGCTACTGATAGCAAAATAGGACAAGACTGCTCGTAGCAGGGCAAAGCCCTGAATGTTCCGACTGCCTTTTCAGGTTTATCGAGCAGTAGTAACATAAAAAAATTAAATATAATAAAAAAAATGAAAAATTTTTTTTCTAAAATTTGACTTTTTTATGAAATCATCTCCCCACACGCCATATAAAATTTAAAAGAATAGATTTTGCTCATTGTAACAAAACAATTATGGCAAATAAGCTTTTTTCAACCAATTTTGAACGATTTAAAAGAGGGATTAAATCTCCGCTTATGCGTTAAACGCGCGAAATATATCGCGCGTTAATTGTCCAAATTGACCAAAATGGCAATCTTTCAACCCTCATAACTTTATGAAAAATGTTCACAGGTGAAATATCTTTTCAATTTTAAGCTCAGGACAAAAATACCTTTTGAATGATATACAAAAATTCTGTCAAAAATGGCTAGTTAAAAAGTCGAAATTTGTCTGAAGAAAAAAAAACCCACCCCGAGCACAAATATTCCGTTATTTTCGTATCGAAAGTCGGAACAAAAAATTCATTCCTCTGCATGCTATTTTGTGTAATCACTAAGCATGCAACAACTTGATTATTTTGAGAGAATACAAAAACCAGCAAAGTAACTCGTTAAAACTTAAGACGTGATTGCCTGTTACAAAAACTACCATTCCTCATCAGATGCATTTTTTGATCAAAAAACGTCATATAATTGTTTCGCAAAAACTCTTCAACGGTCAATTTCCCCTTTAATTGCTGATTCATACTTCATTATGCACACTGAAATTGTGCTGCTGTTTGAATCACGCGTGAAGTATGAAGTTTGTTTTGTATCAAATGCTCTAAAGAACGCGTTGCGTATCAAATGCTCGTATCAGTCCATATAAAACATCTCTTTCAGTATTCTTTCATCTGATGGAATCCGTAATTTTTGATGTTTTGCTCGCTGTTTGCGAGGTTTGACTTCTTCTAGCAAAATTTTTGCAAAACTTGCATTCCATTCCCAAGAAATACGCAATAATTTGCATTCTTTTGAACTTTTTTTTTCAATTTTTGCAGTTTTTATCTGTTTTTTTTTTAAATGTTTATTGTTCAATACCAGATAATAAACCAAATCCCAGAAGACAAATTACCTATATGCTTTTCCCCACAAGACAGCAGTTACCTAGAAAAATATCAACAGAGCGTAAAATCTAATTTTTTCAAAAGTCTTTCGATGATTTTTTCAAAAGGAGTTGATAAAAGTTACAGTTTGAAATAGTGTTCAGTAAGCAGTCCAAACTTTTTCTAGCTACTAGATTTAAAAAGATGAATATTGGGGAAATATCAAAAGACGCGAGTGTAGGTCTTTGCTCGAACAGCATTTATTTATCATAAAAGCATCTAAATGCGAAATTTACAATTCTATTAAAGGCAAAATTTATTCTATTTTTTTTTACAAACTTAAGAACTTTTTCTTGTAAGACATTGATATGATAAAACAAGGATCTAATTAACATTCTTCCTCCTCTTTAAAGAAAAAGGGAGTGGGAAGATTGTTAAAATGATTAACAACGTCAAAATTTTGACCAATCAGAATAGAGCACAATTAGCAATCACAAAAGATTGCTCAAAAGATGCTTTTTTACTGGATATATTTACAGGGGTGGAGATTTTAAAGAAGATGCCATAGTGGACGAAGAGATCAAATTCAATCAAAATTTCATGACCGAAATGAAAAAGGGTCGGGGAGATTGTTAATTTAGTTGAAGTGTCGAACTTTTGAAGAATCAGAAAGCAGCAACATTAGAATTCTCAATACGAAGCACTAGTGCTAATTTACTGTATTTGGTTATGGACGTTTTCAGTTAAAGATATGATAAATTGATTTTTTGAGAACGCTTTTGTCTCTTAAGCTGTGAAACATCAAAAAATCATGACATTACGCGAATCGCGTCGATCGGGAAAAAAATGCTTCAGTCTATCTATATGAAAAAAAACAAGAATCGCTGTCGGAATATTTCATTGCAGTTCAACTTTTGATTGGAAAGCTTCACTATAAATTAGATTGTTCGACGTGTACCATGATTGATGCCTGTTAGGGTGGCTATATTTATGTGGAAAAAAAAACTCCCTAATCCATAAGCTATAAGCTGAGGGCTGAGGCTCCATATTTTGATAAAAATTCATTTAATTTTGTTTGTTTAAGTTTAAAGTTAAGTATTTTAGGTCATCTATGATTTGTGGCGGACTGGCACACCAATTTAATGCTCATGCATTATCAAGAATGAACTTTAAAACCGCTATCGTTTGGCAGATTTTTCATGAAATTGCTACTATTTTTTTCGTAGAGATCTTCATACATATCATTGTCAACAATGATAATACCATAATAACGAATCCGTGAACGTTTTTATTGCTCCTTTCAGAGTCATTGAACTGAGTGCATTAGCGGAAGACAATGTCTACTTTTATTCACTATAAATCATTTAGCTCGTCGTGCAAAATAAGCATTAATTTGCTGTCTCTTAATTGTTTTTCCTGCTAACCATTTTCAGGCTCTAAAAACCATAAACCTCATTTTTTATTGGATCAAATTAACATCCCCCTCCTTCCGCCCACATTTATCTTGATCTATTAAAAGAAAAGAGGCCAAATTCTAGTGATTTGCATTGCATCTACAGTATCACTCAGAGTCACCTCACCAAAAAACTCGCCGCGTGAATTGCATATACAATATCATCGCACCAAAAAAGTCAACTTACGAGTGAAAGAGTGAGAAATTCTGAAGTAGTGGACGAATAAGCGAGAAACATGTCACACTCTGACTTCTCAGTGGCAAAAGATACCGCTAGAGTATCCCGGGTGGGGTCCACGTAGTCCCTCTCCCACCGTCTGGTGTCTTTGCGAAGGTGAGGGGGATAGACGAACTCTGCCACTCCCCCGTTGAATTTGTAGGTAGCACCGGCTAAAATAATTCAACGAAACATCAGGGACTGAAATTTGAGAACCACCAAACAAAACTAGTTTTATTCAAAAATTACCAATCAACAAGTAAAAAGAAAAAACTTTTCATTTATCTGAACAATGCAAACTTTAATACCATAAATTAACAAAAATCTTGTCAACTTTCAGCAAGTTTTTTCTGTGTTGTGGTCAAGCGGCAAAAAAAATATATTCCTTTTTTTTTAAATTCCCCTGGTCATCTACCAAAGTTGTGCAGAAATATTGAAATGAGAGTTTACAACAACTTCAATAAGATGTCAAAATATTGCATTTTGCTGACATCTGAGCTGAATTAGTGTCACATTTCAACTATTTTGCCATATATGTACAAAAATGTGTTCATTAATTCTACGCATAAGTCAAAAATATATCCATTTTCATCCGATTTATTTGAGCGAACTCAAACTTTTTCTGCAAGCAGCCGGGGGGCAAATTTAAAAAAGCCAGACGATGCTCCAAGTCAGTTAAAATCAGCCTGATATCAGTGGTGCGTATTTGACAGTAGCCTTCCGCTAAAAAGTATTCTGCGCTCAAAATACCTAGTTGATGCAGCTAAAATTATGCGTTTGCTTATCTCATATCTTTTTATGAGGTGAATTGGAAGTTTTAAATAAATAATCCCGGGAATCCACGCAATAAAAACGTTACCAGAAAAGGAGGTTATCGCGAAAAACAAACTCTAAAATGAAAACATAGTAAAAAACAGTAAGAAGTACGTTAATGAAGTCAAGGAAACAACGAGAGAAACAACTGATCCATTTTTTTGTTTCGACTTTCAAAGAAAGTGACGGGATAATTGCGCTCGGGGTGTTTTTTTTTCACCAGACAAATTTCGACTTTTTAATTAGCAAATTTGACGGAACTTTTTATATCATTCAAAGAACACTGTTGTCTGAGCTCAGATTTAAAACGACATTTCACCTGTGATCTTTTTTTGCAATGTTATGGGGGTATAAAAGTTGCCAATTTGGCTAAATATGGACAATTATCGCGATATGTTTTGTGCTATTAACGCGTTTCCGGAGATATATAGTAACCTGACATTCTTATACAATTGTTAGATTGTTCCGACATCGTAACGAAAGTAACGGAATTATTGTGCTCGAGGTGGGTTTTTTCTTCAGACAATTTTCGATTTTTTAACTAGCCATTTTGACGGATTTTTTAAAAAATTATTCGAAAGGTATTGTTGTTTTGAGCTTAATTTTGAAAAGATATTTCACCTGTGATCTGTTTTTGTAAAGTCATGGGGGTTTAAATACTTCCATTTTGGCCAATTTGGGACAATTAACGCAATATTTCGTGCTATTAACGCGTAAGCGAAAATTTAATCCGTATTAAAAATCGTTCCAATTGGTTGAAGAAAGCTTAATTGCCATAATTGATATGTTACTGAAAGCAAAAGTTATCAATTTGTACCTTATTGGGCGTGTGGGGGGGATCATTTTCACAAAAAAATCTCAAAGTTTTCTTCAAAAATTTTTATTTTGTTTATATTGCAAATAATTTTTTCACGCGATTACTGCTCCAAAGACATTAAAAGGCAGTCGGAACATTCAAGGCTTCGCCCTGATACGAGCAGTCTTGTTTTTGTTCCGACTTTTGGAGAAAACGGAATATTTAAGCTCGGTGTGGTTTTTTTTATTCAGTCAATTTTCGCCGATCGAAATAATACTTTTCAACAAAATTTTTTTTTACCCTTTTGAATATATTTACTTTCTGAGTTCAAATTTAAAAAGATATATCACCTGCAATTGTTTTTTGTAAAATTTTGGTGGTTTGAAAATTGCCAAATTGCCATGTTCTGGACTAATTTATGCGAGCTTTGAAGAGTCTATCCATAATGCTGAGAGCGTAGCGCGAATTATTTACATGCGTGTTGAATTATCCCACACAACAAAATCGTTCCAAATTGAATTGAGGCTAGCTAATCGGTCGTATCAATTTCGTGTAACTTGAATTTTGGTATTGTCCAAAATTTATAGGTTTTCAATATTTTTCCCAAAAACTTTTCGATATGAATTAAGGGACAGTCTGAACATTCAGGGTCTTTCTGCCTTGATTAACGAGCAGTCTTGCTATACTCTGCATAATCGTTCCAATTGAATTGAGGCAGCTAATTGGTTTTATTAACTCCATACACGACTCAATTTGCAACACTTAGTTTTTTATCCGAGACAAGTTACCAATTTATACCAATTTATCCGAGACAAAATAAAGGGCAGTCGGAGTATTCAGGGCTTTGCCCTGATACGAACAGTTAGCTTGCTTAATATTGAGGGAAGGCTAGAAAAATAACATCAAAGATTTTACCTTTATCAAACTTTTCCTCAACTATAAAATGTTGAAGACGAAATAGAGGAAAACGTAAAGTACAAATTTTTGCCTCGATGCGAGCAATTTTTAAGTGTCAGTCAAAATTTTGCCCTGAAACAAGCAATATGTAAACCTTGCAGTAATGAAGCAATTAATCAATTGATATTTAGTAGTTACCCCAAAACCACAAGGTCATCAAAAATTACTTTTTAAAATATTATATCTTTTTTTCAAAACTTTGTTGCTTCTCATTTTGCAGTTCTCTATAAAATCTCGTTGCAAATTGCAGTATTTGTTTTAACAGTAAATAGCAGGGCGAACTTTTTTTCCACGACAAAGTTTTATAGGGTAATTAATTCTGCTGTGTTTTAATTTAGTTCTAAAAATTCTATGCTTAAAATTTCCTAATGTTCCCATTTTATGAAAAAATTATATCCTGATGACGTGTCTTGAAACTGACCTATTGAGCAGTCTGAGCCCTCGTATGTAGTGAGAGTGCAGTCACATTTGTCCTGTCCCGTCTGCACATCTTTCACACACACACCCCTGTGTTCACACTTCACCCCACCACACAATTTATCCTTCTGACCTGCAAAACGAAACTGTTATATTGATGAAACTGAACTGATGATGATGAATAAAATGATCGTTTATTAGCTACATTAGTCAAATAAGCTCACATCTAAAAACTAGTTGGCACACTGCTCAAAAGATCCTGATATTTTGATTTATTAACAAAATAATTTTAGCAGCATCCGTTAAAGAAAAAAAGCATAAGATCGACAAAATCTTAAACAATATTGACAAAAAACATCATTTTTCTTTAATTTACAGAAAATATTTGTTTGAATTAGATTTGATTGTACTTGATTGAATTTGATTGAATGAGATTCTTGGCTTTTATTGTGTAATTCATACGAAATGTCAAAACCCACACAAAAACAATCGTAAAAACATCACACTTTACGGCTCTTCTTTTTAGAGCAAGTGAAATTAAAAAAACCTTTTGAAAAACTTGCTACCATTGCGTAATAAAAACGGGAAATCATTAATCACGTCAGCCATACACAGGTTGGTTGGCGTGAACACGTGAACAGCATGTAGTTCACCTGCTGTAAAGTGCATTTCGTGATGGGCAAGTGGGCACGGCAGGTGCACCCGCACTCCTCCCCTAATCGGCGGGCGATGAAATTTGGGAGAGTGATATATTATGGAACGGGATTGAATTATTTGGGGTTAATTAAAAACATCCGACATCAATTTTTGAGGTCAACCAAATTGCATTTATAGATCATAACGAACAGAAAAAAGAGATAGAAAAAATAGAAAACTGAATTTACAGACCGAATTTATACAATCAAATTAAACGCAAAACAAAAAAAAATAACTTACTCAGTTGATGTGAAATATTTACGAATGATTCGGACCTGATAAGCAAATAGCGTGAGCGTTAAAAAAGCCCCGCAGTGCTGATCACCAGTGATATTCATTTTCCACTCCAACTGTTCTTTTGATTTTCATTCATTTGGGCGGGCGCAAACGCAAACGTCGAGATTTTTTTTTGAAAGGACTAAGTGAAAAAAAAACGAGTGCATCGATTGCGATAGAAAAAAATATGTCAATGATCAGGCGTTAAATTAAGATGTTAAAAACTGCAACATAAGATAGCCATTAGTAGTAGATGTGTGATGCGCAATAAGTCCTATGAGAAACTCAAATCAGCCAAAGTATTTATCAATAGGAAATAATCTGATAGTTTTTTTTTTCAAAATTTGGAAGTCAGATGAAATGAAAATTTCAAAAAGTCTCTTAATTGCCGAGGAAAACAAAAAGACAGAAACTGTTCACCAGAATGATCCAAAAATTTTATATCGAATAGTTTACAATTCCAAACAAGGTGAGCCGATTTTTGAGCAAAGTATAACTGAATGTTCCGACCATATTCATAAAAAACTAGAAAAACTGGTTTCTTTTTGTCTTCAAATTAGTGTCGTTTTAGTGAATAGTGTGATCCGTAAACTATACAAGCGGGTGACCGGTCAAAGAATTAGATATCTTTTTTTAAACAAAAACTGAAAACATTTTTCTTTAAAAAAGAATAAACAAAAAAGAAAAAAATTTTCAAAAAAATTTGAGAATTTTACCTTATTTTTTGTACAATAGTTTTATTTTTCTGAAAATCTTTATTGCTAATTAGGCGCTGAATGATATTTCTAAAACTAGTTTTTTTGATAATAAAATCAGTTTTTGCTAGCCTAAAATTATCAAAAAAAAACAATTGTAAATTTTCATATAAAGAAAATTACTCGATCGCGTTACTCGCTCTAAACAGAACTACACATCAAAATTTTTAAACCAGTTTCCCTCGACACTGGGACAATTTTCTGGGAAATTTTAAAGTCGTTCGAATCATGACTGATAGGGCTTAAATTTGGTATATCACTCGACCCATTCCGATGATATTTGTGGTAGCTGACTTTGCGTGAAAAAAAGACAAAAGAAAAAAACTAAAACACACATTCAAATGCAAAGTTCCTCCCCGTTTTTGATAGTTGGAACAAAAAATCAGCAAATTCTCATGGAAATCAAATACTTTCATCGTCTAAGGAATAAATTGAAAAAAGATTTCCAAATATAGTGAAAAATGCTAAAACCACAAACTAATTTTTGCTGCTATGGCAACTAAAACCAAAAAATAATGAGCACAGCTACGATAGACCGACATTTGAAATTATATTGATTGAAAAAAAAGTGGGCTTAGTGGGATTTGAGCATTTTCTTATTGTCAACTTTGCAGAAAAAAACCTGATTTTAAAATTAATTGAGATCAAGGTTTAATTGTTTCAGTAACTTTTGTTGGACAATTTATTTATTGCATTTCACGTGTCGATAAGTCCGCTACTGATTGCAAGAAGTTTTTTTATTAGATGTAATTTGAGAAATGGTTGGTTGATTTTCAAACGATTATCACTGCTGAAATTGTTATCGCCCGACTTTGGTTAAAAAAGCTAATATGAGTAATCTCTGGGAAACAAGTCGTTGGTCAGAAATAATTTTTCATAAAACGCAGGTTCTTGCAATACTAAAACTTGAAGTGCCACAAGGAAAAAAAAGGAGTTTGGTATTAATTTTAATGGTACGTTTGAAAAATCTAAGTTCCAGCAAATCGATTGCGGATCAGAAAATCAAATTGCCTAATTCGATAACTATAACTACTTTCTATAACTATTGTTAGAATAATGAACCTGAACCAGCTTTTTAATTTGCCATATTCACGGCTAGAGCCAATTTTATGCTCGTTTTGTTTCAAACTGTTTTTTCTACAAAAATAGGTAGCTGTGAAGGAATCTGAAATTTTCATTCATTTGGAAACTAAAAATGAATAATGCAAGCAAATATTTATCCGTTTGGTTTCGGTTCCCAGCTACATCAATTTATTGAAATAATATCATCCTTTCTCCTCCGTTTTAATTTCTCTTATCTTTCAAAACATAAGACAAAAAAAACGGTCTGTTGGATTCCAATTTGAGTCCAACGTGATGCGTACATTTCTGTTTTTCAAAAACTTGATTGGTTAACGCAGTTTGGTTAGTTAACTTTTAAAGAAAAAAATATTTTTATTTTTTGAAAAATCAGATCGCAGCATTTGAGACTAGGTTAGAAAAAAAACTGTGTCCTCAGAGGGCAAATAATTTATCAGAGGGCAAATAGTTTGGGTCGAAATTTCGAAAAAAAAACATTTCAAATATAAGTTGGTTTAAAAATATAAACCATGGGAAAATTATAAATCAAATTTTATTTGAACAAACGCTGCTGTAAATTTCGTGTCTGAACTTAATTATGTCTTGGATAAACTTTTGAATTCAAAAAATCTTGCTTCCATAAAAATCAAGAAATATTAAGCAAAAAACCCGATTGGAGAACGTAAGCAAAATAAACTGCAACTTACAACATTTTCGAAG